CTTCTTGGTCGATAAGTTTTTGTTGTATTGAGTCAATGTTTTTTTCAGCAGATAACCTTTGCTGAAGGTCGCAGCAACTAAGCATAGCTTATAAATGTCCTTTTGAGTTTTTGTGCTCGGCCAATCTTGTATGAATATTAGACCAGTCATTAAAACCATTAGATGCTAATGAACTTGTCACATTATAGCAAAAAATCTTACAGTAATAACAAAAGATCTTGTCGGCTGACACTGAGTACATCACCCATGGACGAGCAACAATTTCACCATTTGAAAGTTCCTTTTGCAATGAAACTTTGAAAAGTGTTTCCCAATCTTATTTTTAGGGAAATCTTCTACAATAATTTTAGGCGGCCCTTGTTTTACTAAATACTCCCTGATACGCTGGCTAATGTATTCTGGCCAAGTTGCAGAATCATCAGATATTTCTATATGGTCAGCAGAGTCGAAGTTGCCTTTCTGCTCTGGATCTAAACCATTTGCATCTTTATTATCAGAAAAACATTCTTGACCCTCAGTACCTTCAGCATCAGTTACAACCCTTTTTGTAGTCTTCTCTTCACCTTGACTGTCTTGAGTGTCTTCTTCAGACTGATTTAGCTCTTCAAATTCTTCTTCACCGTTGTTCTGTCTGTGTCGTATGTTCTACTGGATAATTTTCAACCATATCTGCATCTTCACTGAGCTCTTCTGGCTCAACAGTAGAATCAGGTCTGCTAAAATACTTGTTTAAAGCATCCTTTTGCTCCTGTGTTTTTAACTGCCTTTGCCTTGTATATGGCTCTTTTCTTACTCCCACTTTCTACCAATGTCTCTTGATCTCTTACCCTTATTGATAGAAGTTACCGTATTCTAAAAGAATATTAATTGTAGATTTTCACTTTCATATTAGGAAAATTTATGTATTGATAGTTGTTTAACTGATTTTCTTCAATGTTTATTTTATGAAAATTTATAAAATATTTCCTTATTTTTATATTAGATCAAATTAAGACAATAGGCCTAATCAGTTTTAAGATATATATTTGCAACAGTAATAAACTTAAGTCTTAAAACAGCAAGCGAATAGCATAGTTAATTTATGATACCTGCGAGCACCTGCCCCGGGGCCAAACCCTCCTCCTGTGGCGCAGCCAAACGCCCACGCAAGTTTGCCCCAGGGCCAAACCCCCCAAACCCTGGAGCCGACCCCTTCCCCCGCGGTGCACGAAAATTCCTGCACTTGACTCACTCCTCCTATGGCGCAGAGAAGCCGCTGCACTCCTCCTCCAGGGACGACGCCCCTTCCCACAGTACACCCAGCGTGCCACAGAGCTGTGGGAGGGAAGCAGCCAGCACACTTCTGGAACCCCCGGAAGTGGCGCAAAGCTGCAGGCAGGACTTTCATCCACCCCACGGGAAGCCGGCACTATGATAGAGATAGGTAGTGGGGCTTCTGGAGGGTGGGGGGGAATTGGAGGGGGGGGGCCCGAACACCTCACGATCAACTGGTTGAGGCCTCGCGATTGACCAGTCGATCGTGATCAACCGGTTAGTGACATGGCTATAGGGCGCGGGGCCCTCTTAGGCACGGGGCCTGATTCGGTGGAATTGGCCTAAAGCCGGCCCTGCCTGTGGGAGTGTGGAGCTAGGGCTCAGTGTGTGGAGCCCTGTGCACTCTCTCCCTCCTCCCCACCTAGAAGCTGGGCCTGCTGCCGGCCATTTCTGGGGCGTAGCACAGTCTGCAATGCCAGGCCAGGCAGGTAGCCAGCCTTAGTACTCCCACTGGTCACCTGATCCCCCTGCAGAAAAGACCCAGTGACATTTCACAATCCAGTATAGGGGCACAACCCATCGTTGGAAAGCCATTGCCTTACCACTTTTATGCTGTCTTGAGGATGTGCCCTTCCTGGAACTCTAAATTCTAACTATCTTCACAGTCCAAACTTCAGAGTCACAATAAACCACAATAAACTCCCTCCTCTCTTGTGGTCACAAAGCCCATATCTGAAGTTTTACTAAGATAATATATAACCTCTCTCCTCTCTTGTGATGACACAGCTTGTATCAGCAATATTACTAAATAGGGAATTTTACTTCCACTTCGAAAACCGTTTTTTTTGGTTGAGTCAAAGCACCACTGCCTAGTCTGTACACTGCACAGATTCTGTGCTCTGTGATTTGAGAGCGTTCCAGCATGGAAGGACTCCACTCCCTAATCTTTTCTCTTCTTCCATTTCCTGAGAGTATTTTTTTTTTTTGTGATAACAACAAACTCCATGGTCTTCACTTCTGATTAGGGTTTCTGAGCTTCTTCCTTCTTCCATGGTTCTCTTGTTAATTCATGGATTGTATATTTTAACTCTGCCATATTTGTGGTTTCATCCACATTTCTAAAATTGTTTCTTTGTGGCTGCAATTTTTGCATCCTATCCATTATTACTCCTTTCCTGTTAGTGAGTTTATTATTGGTCATGTTTATATACATAGTTGCTAACTCTCTCATTGAATACAGTATTGGGTAGGGATGATAGAGAGCAATCAACTAGTCGATTATCTGGTAGTTGACCGGAGTTTTGACCACTTGTTCCCCCCACCTTGCTGCTTCTGTGAGCAGCAAGTGGGCAGGGAATAGGATCCAGTGATGGAGGAGTCAACTTAAAAGGTGGTTTCTCCCCAGCACCGTCTCTGTGGTGCTGCCTGCCCCTCCCTCCCATTTCCTCTATCAGAGGCAGCAGAAGCAGGGGGGAAGAGGGATAGGGGAGGCTGCTCTGGCAGCAGCCCCTGTCTGTGGGCGGTTCCAGCAAGGAGTTGGGCTCCCCTACAGACAGGAGCTGCTGCCTCCAAGCAGCCCCTGTTCGCAGCAGCCCATACTTGTTGTCACAAAGAGGGGCTGCTAGACTCATCATAAGCTGGGACTGAGCACAGTCATTTTAGTGCCCCAGCAGGTGTATTAACTTGAATTATAGAATCTACCTTTAGGGAAGATTAGAGGGCAGCTGCAGTCAAGAGAGAACCTGGAAAATGGCTCCTGCTAAAGTTATGATCTCTAGGGACCAGCAGGAGCACATTACATGAGAAGTTTTCTTTATATCTGATGTTACTGCTTTCACCTGAATGGGGTAAAATGAAACTGCTATTATAATGTGTTAACAACAAAACCTAATTGTCTCAAAAAGTAGGACTTCTCAGTGGTCCCTTCTTTTGCTAACTGTTTTTTATATTTAGGCTGTGTCTACACTGGCAGATCATCAGTGTTTTTCCGGAAAAACTATGCTGCTCCCGTTCGGGCAAAAGTCTTTTTCTGGAAAACTGTTCCGGAAAAGGGCCAGTGTAGACAGCACAGTAGTGTTTTCCGCAAAAAAGCCCTGATCGCAAAAATGACGATCGGGGCTTTTTTGCGGGAAACGCATCTAGATTGGCCACGGACGCTTTTCCAGAAAAAGTGCTTTTTCTGGAAAAGTGTCCTGCCAATCTAGATGCGCTTTTCCGAAAATGCTTTTAACGGAAAAATTTTCCATTAAAAGCATTTCCGGAAAATCATGCCAGTGTAGATGTAGCCTTAGAGTTTATAGGTTTGTGTTTATTTTGTCAATATTTTCTCATTTTATGTTGATTATTACTTGATACCTGGATTAGGACCAAAGATGAAATAGCAATACCTAATGACCATATGTTACTGCAATTAGCTTATCAGTTAAATGATGACATATCAGAATTTAATTACCCATAGAAATTTTTAAAGTATGTTTTAGATTTTTGCCCTGGTTTTCTTGCCACTTGGCAATTGAGGACATACTCTATGACTTAAAAAAAAGGAACTTTACAAAAATTAGTAAGCAATATCTATTTTATACTCTGCAAACTCTGTCACAGATTTTTTGCATTGGTGGCATTTTTCTAGTTTAAATTGGATCAGAAAATCTGCCTTTACTTTGTTTCTAATGACATGTTCCTACGAGCCAGCATTTGTCCCTAAAAATATCTTTTGCTCCAAACTGGCTTCATGTAACCACTGGACAGAAAACACTTAAAATATGACCATTGTGTTCATTCCTTCCCATAACATGTTCACACTCTCCCTATTAATGAGTCAGAGCATGAAAACTGGAAGATTTCAATTTAAATGGCTTCTTTTAAAAGAAAAAAATGTTTTTAATCCTCCTACAGTTTAACAATCTGGCCTTTTTTAGCTGTTTTGATTCCATTATTTAAAGACAACGTAAGATTGCAGAAATTGGTTGACAATGTAGGGGAAAATAAATTATTGGCATCCAAGGGAAAAAAAGCCATTTTAGGGGTAATTGCCCTGGAGCTACCATTAAAAATAATGAATCTGTTCTGTTGTCCTGGAAGAACCAACAGACTCAGTCCAACAGTCATTCTGCTCATCTGTAGGTGAATGGTCTGACCTTCGAAGACTGGATCTGGATCTGAGGTGTTGGGATCCAGGATTCTGATTTTAAATCATCTCTAGTCCTACACTACCTGACTTAGAGCCATTTCACCTTATGGGTCAGACCCCAAAATCACAGGAATTTGGGTAGCTTTGTTCATGGGAGTGTTGTCTCATTGATTTCAAAGGGACAATTCACTTGAGTAAAATTATTTGAGTGTTTGTAGGATTGTCTCCATAAAACCCAATCATGCATAAATAATGCATTCCAGTAACTTTAACTGAGTATCTTTACCTATGTGTAACTTTAACTATGGGCTTCAGTGCAACAGCTCACATGAATAACTTTCACATGACTATCTACTTGCATGATCGAGTCCTTATTTTGCTTATTATACCTGTAATATGTAGTAACAATGATGAAATCATTTGTTATCCTTGACTTTAAAAGACTTTCCTCTCAGAACTGTTGTTATATGCTCCATCGCTGATACATTTATTTTGCCAGTTCAGTTTTGGAATTTATTTTTAAAAAGAGACATTGTAGTCCTGTATCTGAAAGCAGCAGAGGGCACTGAATCCATCTACACAGCTTACAAGGGATTTTCCTAACTGCACTTTGGGTTTCCCCATTCAGGGATTTCCTACTCTCCGCCTCAGTCAGATTGGTTATAAATAGCTGAGTAACTCTTATAGCTGTCATTTTCAGAGCTGAAGACTCAGGCTGTATATTTTTCAGAGAGAACAGAGATCTAGGACATGAGTTTCCTTGCTTTTTTCATCGTACAGCATTTGCAAAAATTTAGACAAATGGGAAGAATAATTCCATCAGCAACAGTGCTTTTACTGGTGTTTGTGACTTGTGAGTTGTTTTTTGTTACTAAGTAATTTGTTTTTTTACTTTATTTTATAATAGTCTTTACTACAAATGATTTTACATTTAAGTAAATACAAATTTGTCATTCTTAATTAAAATGTCTTGTTTAAATACCAGCAACAATTTAATTCAGCGCTGACTATTCTGTAGTAAAGCAGTCATTTTGTAATTTAGTTTGCTAAGAAATTTATTGCACTGCAGAATCCGAGAATTATTTAGGTTAGAAAAGATCTCTACATGTCACTTTAGGGTTGATTTTATTATCCTTGAAGCATCCCTGATAGATATAGGATAGTACTAATATCTGCAGGGAAGGTGATTCTATAACCATCCTTGACAATTTATTGATCTATTAGTCTGCTGCAAAGTTATAGAAGTAGATTCCAACTATTTTAGCTAGGGTAGCTCGATTGATTTCAATGGATTTACATTTTTCACCAGTTGAAGATCAGATTCAATGTCATCTAAATCTTAATTTTTGTTTTAAAAAACATTTTGTAGACTTATTTTGGAGATGTAAAGAACTATGTAAGTACTAAATATTAGTTGTTTAATTTTCCCTTCACAACTGAAAAGTAGCAGTTTAAAAGTAGCAAAACAAGAGGTAGGCTTTAATAATCTCAGATAACACCCCAGATTACCAATGAAAGAGAACATGAGCTATTAGAACAACGTGACTGCATTTTTCTCCCTTTTTCAGCTAATGCTTTTGAAATTCATCTTACACCTGAACACAAAGTTGCTGTTCAGCTTGGAAAAAAACTTGAGTTGATCTGCCATTCTCGTGACTGTGAGTCCCCAGAATTCTCCTGGAGAACCCAGTTTGACAACCCCTTAGGTGGGACAACTAACAATACGAGGAGCAGCTCTGTCTTGACTATGGATCCTGTTGATCTTAAGAATGAACATGAATATGTCTGCAGTGCAACTTGTGACAATGTGAAAAAAGAAAAAAACATCAAGGTTGATGTTTACTGTAAGTGATTTATTCCCTTTCTATGTGACATTGGTGCAATGCTTATTCATAATAAATCTGATTAATCATTTTTAAAACTGCAATGAGAGAGAGAGGATCTCTCCAAAAGTTGTCTTTTTTACCTATCTCTAGTACCAAGTAACTAGTGGTGTTCTTTTAGCTTTTTCCAGCGATCCAGTCATTGAGTTCAGCACACCATTGTATGTCGGAGAAAAAGCCAGTATCACCTGTATAGTACACAGAGTGTATCCTTCTGACCGTTTGGAGATGCAGCTGGAGAAAGATGGATCTGTTCTTGCAAAGAAAGACTTTTCTGCAGAAGAAATTACCGAAACCACAGAGATAAAAAGTCTGACATGGACTTTTATCCCCACCTTTGAAGACATTGGGAAAGAGATTACCTGTGTGGCTGAATTACCAATTGATGACATGGAATTTGAGCCCAAAAAAAGACACATTTCACAGAGATTGAGTGTAAACTGTAAGTATATTTATATTAGAGATTTCAAACCATAGAAAATTTTATGTTAGGATTCATGGGTGAAGGCTACAAAGTTAGGCATATAAACAATAGATCTCCTGATCCACATTGGATCTCACACTCATGTTAATACACGATAAAAGATCAAGGATTTGATATGGCCCTTAAGTAGTATCCTCTCTGGGCACAGTGCTGTAATCCTGTCATGTGATGGGTCACCATTGACTTCAGTAAGCATTTTACACATGAAACACCCTGGGTTATTAAAGTTAACTGTTGCATTGAGTGAAAACGGTGAAAAAATACACACGTCAGTCTTCCTCCCCATTGTGGCTCACTATGACTCTCATTTTCTTTCCTAGTTGGTGCAAAACACGCATAATCCGAATCAGAGAGCACAATAGTTACATGAGTAGAAGTGCTTGAATGCTCATGTGATTTCCATTTTAGTCACTTGGATCCATATGCAGATCCATCTGCACATCAAGGGGCAGAATTTGGCTTGAAGCAGTTTCTCTTGTTGATTCTTCACTGAGCTCCTTGTGGAAACTGTTCCACAGTACTATTGACATCCCTGTTTTGGATATGTTTCCCAGGGTCGGAAGTGTTTCCTTGTGATCATCTAGCCTCAGAGACATGGATATTATGTCTCATTAATTTAGCTCCTTGAACTTTTCTCTTCTGTTTTCTTCCAGTTGGTCCACAAAACACTAACATCACTGTGTCTCCAAGCAACACAGTTACACAGGGGGAAACTCTGATGCTTACTTGTAGGACTACAAGTAATCCGTCGGCTAGGATTGTTTGGAGAAAAGAGCTGTCAGATTCAAGTGTTCAGCACATTATAGACAATGAGACCCTTATCATCCCACATACCCTGATGAGTGATTCTGGGCTCTTCATCTGTGAAGCCATTAATGATGCAATGAATAAAACAGAGAGAACAACGGTGGTCATTTCTGTACAAGGTATGAGCCTGCAAGACTCTGATGTGGCCGGTTTGATGAAGCATAACATTTCAGCTAAGCTACATATAACTCTTGAATGAACAAGAGATTGAAGACCCTGAAATAATGAAACGGAGAAGTTTTTACTATTGTATATGCAGGAGTCAGCTTCAGATATGCCACTGCTATATTGGAGTCATGTTTGTCGTTGGAGTGACTGATATTTTTTTTGTCATTACAATGACTGATGTTTCATTGCTTCTGTCCTTACTCTCAGGTTGACAGAAACACATGCACAATTCCCCCATTTAATGGCTCAGTGTTGGAAAAATTTCCCTCATGTCCTCTGGGTGACTTACCCCAAACGACATTTAAGCACGCCCTCCAAAACAGGGTCTTAACAGCCTCTCTAGCTCCATGTGACTAAGGTTGTCACCCACCTAGCCACATAAGGACAATAACCTCCTTTAAGACTGGCATGTCACTGCACAAGTAGCTGTGTCTAGGACATTGCCCAGGAGCCCTGTGTTGCTCCCAAAATCTGCCCACTAATGACGTTTCCAGGTGGTTTATGCATGCAGCCAACCACTGTGCCATGACATTACCTTATGAAATCTGCTGACTTACCTGACATTTAAATACACTTTGTGTCAAATGTTCTTTTTGCAATCTCTCTCTTAGAGACCATTTCCTCCAGCAAAGCTTAAAACAGGCTGAATTATAGGTATCTTATGTTCTGAGGTGTCCTCTGATGTCTGCTTCATTGACTACCTCTTTGAAATCTCATCTGAAAACTCATCCTTTCACCTGCACCTATGCCTTTTAATTAATTTATCCTTTGCTTTATTGTAATTGTATTACATAATGTTGTTGTTATAGGTCCAGTCCTGTAAGTCCTGCCTTTAGCAAAACTCAAATTCCAGTTCAATTCCATAGATAGTACAATTCCTGGCCAAAGCTCCAAAGGGCTGTCATTCTAGCCCCTGAGGCTCCAATCCTGTAGTGAGTATCCTGTGGAGAGGCCCCTGCATCCTCATGGAACTCTTTGCAGGATCAATGTTAGTCTTTGTAAGTGACAGCAGGCACAAATGTGACAATGTAGGGATCTGCCACTTTGTCTGCTGGCACAAATCAAATATACTGAACTCTAACTTCTACTAGTATCCACAAATCCAGGGGGTTAAATCTCCAAATTTAATATTTCAGCCCACAGTTAATTCTGGGTACACAATTAGAGGTTTTCTTTTTTTTAAAAAAAAAGCTCCTCATGTTATACTTCATATGTATAAAAATGATGTTAATCAGAGCTTCCAAGTTGTTAATTACAGACACCCCAAAAGATGCAACTTGGTCATTTTATTTTGCATTTTCAATTTACTCGAGCCTGATCTTGCCCATAGGGCAGATTCTCTTTGGATTGGTAGTGCTGCCTACTATATACAATGGTATAATTTGTTATTAGCATTATTGTTCCTACAGGTAGTCTCTAACGGCCTCGATCCAGATCAGGAAGCCAAAACAAATGGGCCTCATCAACACTCTTACTACCCACTACTACTTTGCTAACTATTTCTCCTTTAACAGAAAGTCTTTCCTTTTTTTTTCTGCAGCGGCACCAAGAATTACTGAGTTCTCCATACAGCCCTCCACAGCTGTTGAAGAAGGAGATAATGTTACCATTCTGTGTTCAGTTGAAAGCAACCCGGCTGCCAGGATTGTCTTAAGAAGAAAATCAGACAGTGAAGACACTGTGCTTTATAGCGAGCATGGAATTGTCCATATACCAAGTGTGACGTTCCTCCACGCAGGCACCTATGAATGTGAAGCAAAGAATGCACTGGGGGAAAGCAAAATGGCAGCAGCATTAAGTGTGGAATGTAAGTGTCACATGCATTGCCTATGACCCAATAGGATAGTTCTTTCAGTGAACTGCTCGTCGTTTACTTCCATGCTGGCTATACTCCTCAGAACAAATCCAAGGTGAAGAAATGACATGCACCTGTTAGGAACAGCCCATAGTAAAGGGAGACCTGGAGCAGCCCATTGTCTCTAAGACAGAATGCCCCCTTGGAATTCCAGAGGGACCTGGAAGGGGGGCCATAATTTGGGTACAGTGTATTCCTCCCTCCCTGTGTGGCTGGGCAACATGAAGTGCCAAACAGAGCCATGCTTTTGCCTAATTACTTTTTGGTGAGTTGCTTCCTGGGGGGAGTAATACAGTGACATCCACTGCAGTCCCCTGAGTGCTGGAGCTGGGGCTGAGTGGACTTGTGGGGGCTGTACAACAGGAGAGGGGAGTTGTCCTGATGTGCAGTGCATAAGGGCTAGTCCCCATTGAGCCCTCAGAGGGGTGGCTGTCTCACAGCAAGGACTGATCGGGGACTGACACTGAACTTGTCCTCCCATCCATATAAGCAGACGCTCTTGGTCAGGACTGAAGCACACTGGCTAAGATGGCCTTGCATGGAAGCTCAGAAGCTATCTGTGCAATATTTGATTAAAGGATAAATAGAGGATTTCAGTGTCCAGGGCTGACAATCTAGCACCTATCATTGCTCACGTTATTAATAACTGACTATGCATCCTTTTGTTTTAGATGGACCAAGAAACACGACGGTCTCTGTCACCCCCTCCAACTCAGTGAAAGAAGGGGAAGCGGTGACAATGACATGCAGTAGCAATGGTAATCCATCTCCAGAGATCTCCTGGGCTAAGCAATTGACCAACGGAAAGTCACAGTTTCTTTCTAAAGATGCAACTTTAACTATAAATAATGTCAAGGCTGATGACTGGGGGCTTTATGAGTGTGTAGGAGTGAACCAGTTTGGAAGAGAGAAAAAAACTGTGGAATTAATCGTTCAAGGTGAGTACAGACTGATAACACTGTAAACCTTGCTTCTCCATGTTAGGGCTAATCTTTACAGCCCTGCAAATCCATAAAGATACACTTTATAGGAGCAGGTGTCTGCATCTGCAGATGTAGATGCGGATATCTGTTTCTCTTTTTTGTGGATGCACATGCAGATGCGGATACAAATATTGTATTTGTGCAGGGCTCTGCTAATCTTGCTCTGGCTAAAGTCTGAGAATTTTTTCCTTGAATTCCGTGAGGTCAAAAATGGCCCTCAGTCAATAAGTGTAAAAAGACCCCAGTGCATATAGCTTATGCAAAGATCTGAGTCACGGGAGCCCCATCAGGTGCATCGACACAGCCGGTGGAGCCTGCAGAAAGCCTGAGTGGACAGACTCGAGCTCACAAGGCCTGAGCTGCTGCACTAAAACTAAATGGCTGTTTTTAGTTCTTCAGATTCTAGACTGTGCTGTTATTCTTTGTCATTCCCTAAGATTTTAATGTTGTGTGTGTCATGTAGTGAGTTAGCCAGCATCTTGTTGTATATAACTGGAAGGAACAGAGCAAAAGTGAGAACTGTTCTCCAGAAAGGGTATGTCTAAACCAGTGGTCTCCAACCTTTTTACACCCAAGATCACTTTTTAAGTCTCAGAAGAGGCGAAGATCTACTGCCCCGCCCCTTCCTTGAAGCCCCGCCTACATTACATGAGGAAATCTAATGTAAATGTACTGCGCAGGTGTGCAGCTCAGAGAGGGCTCAAGAGCTACTCTTAGAGCCCCTGAGATCTGCCGGTAAATCTACGCGGTTTAAATAATCGCGGCTTCATTTAAATTGACATGACTGCCGCGCTGAGCCAACAAACAGCTGATCAGCTGTTTGTCGACTCAGCGAGCTAGTCTGAACGCTCCCGCGCCGACATGAAAGCCCTTTATTGACCTCCCCAGTAAACCTCATCCAACGAGGCATAATGGGGAGGTCGATAAAGGGCTTTCAGGTCGGTGTGGGAGTGTCCAGACTAGCGCGCTGAGCCGACAAACAGCTGATTAGCTGTTTGTTGGCTCAGCGCGGCAGCCATTTAAATTTAAATGAAGCCGCGATTATTTAAATCGTGGCTTCATTTCCCTTTGCCGATCAGCCTAATCTACATGGCTCCATCGATGGAGCCATGTAGTTTAGACACACCCAAAGATGCAAACATCAGAAAACAATTGTTCTCAAAAATATTTTAACTGTGCCTTGTACTAGAGTCCCTCAAAACAGAATTTCAGATTGTGGAATCCCAATGATTTTCTCAGAGAAAAGTCATGTGTCTGCAATCTGGGCAAACATGCTTTTTTAGACATTATCTTTTTCCTTGGTGTGCCTGTAGAATGAAGACTTCAGCTTATTTTCTGCAGAATGGCCTCTTAGCCAGTTGGTCCCCAGCCTGTAGCAATGCAAGGTTTTCTTCCACCTTAAGTGGAAGACTCTGGATCTGCCGTTGTGAGACTCATAAGATTTCCTTTGGGCCAATCCTTCAAATTGTCTAATTCGCTCTGGACCCTCTCCCTTCCCCCCAGCATATCTGCTCTCCCTCCAGGTTACAGTTATCTGCCAATTTGCTTTGGGTGCATTCTATCCCATCATCCAGATCATTAATGAAGATGTTGAACAAAACTGGCCCAGGACCAACCCTTAGAGCACTCTACTTGATATCGGCTTCCAACTGGATATTGAGCCCAGCAATTTAGCCAGCTTTCTATCCACCTTATGGCCCCATTCATACAAACTAAACTTGCTGGCAAAATACTGTGGGAGATCATATCAAAAGCTCTGTTAAAGTATTTCATGTCCATGGCCTTCCCCATATCACAGAGTCACTTATCTAATCATAAAAGGCAATCAAGTTGGTCAGGCATGTCTTGCCCTTGAAGAATCCTTGTTTATGTTCCTGTTCATCTTCCTCTTCTACAAGTGCTTTAAAATGGATTTCTTGAGGAGTTGCTCCAAGATTATTCCAGGGACTGTGGTGAAGATGAACAGTGGATCCTCCTGGATCCTCCTCCCTCCCTTTTTTTAAGGATGGGCACCACATTTCCCTTTTTCCAGTCATCCAAGACCTCCTCTGATCACCATGACTTTTCAACGAAAATAGCCAATGACTCTGCAATTACATCAGTTAATTCTCTCAGTGCCCTCCAATAGTCCTTCCTCTCAGCAGTGTTGTGTGAAGACTAGAGAGAGTACCATTAGCTTAGTGATGAAATAGATTCTAAAGAAAAGCTTATGATCAATAATTCAACTGAATTAAGGCCATGGCAACCTGCTATAGATTTTAAGTCTCTACATTTGCATTTGAATCTTATTCTACATTTTCTTTCTTTTTAATTCCTTCCCAAAATACTGCAGAGTTAATATATCCATCAGACAATGTTGATGAAGGGGAAAACGCCACTATTATGAGTACAACTTCTAGTAATCCACTTCCACAAATTAGCCTGCCAAAAGTCCAGTCAAGCAACACAACGATCCTTTCATCACAGAATGGCTCATCTACACTTTATAGTGACACTGAAAATTACACAAGCACATACCTGATTGCTATTGACAATGAGGCTGGAAATAACACTGACGTGATTGATACAGTTGTCATAGGTATGCATATACCTTGCTTTGAACTTTCTTGTATTGTTACCTTCTAATGAATGAAAGGCTCATGTTGGGTCAGTTAATGTACTGTTCACCCGCACATAGTTAGACCATGGTTAGTAGTAAAAAACCTAACCAAACAATTCACTAGTGAAAATCAGTAATGTAATAGGCACCTATACAACAGTGACACTATTAGCTCTACTACCCTAAAGTAGCACAGTGGCTCAAGGGAGATGAAGTGGGGCAATGCTTGCCTTCTCCCCCTCTCTGCACCAGTCTGTAGCACGAGATTGGCACACAGAGAAGCACAAAGGAGATACAGGCGTGTCCTGCTGTGTGGTGGGGAGCTGCTGGTGGCAGTCTGTCTGCTGGAGGAACAATTCCTCTTGGTCCTCCTTGAAGAAGTCAGCGTATAGCACTCTGTATTATGTACTATGCAAAGCAAGCCCAAAGCCACTAAGATTAACAAACCCAAGACCAAGAGACTGAACAATGATTAAGTTGATTAGGGAGGGTGTTTATGGAAGAGAAGAAGTGGGTTTAAAACAGGGATTTGAAAGAGGATGAAGAACGCACTGCAGATGAGAACCGAGAGAGAGTTCCAGTTGAAGTCAATCGGAGCTGTCTAACTGCAGTAGCTGGGGCACTGCTCCACTCAGAAATATGAGTAACTATAACCACAATAAAATCAATTTACTGATTGAGAGCTGTTAAGATTAGAGAGAGTTCTTTCAGATCCATGTGGAACAGCTGCTCCAGTGCCCCACAGTATGTCACACACATGTTTGTGTGTATTTTGGAGCTCCAGGGGAGAACATCATGAAATACAGTACGGGGAGGCACTTTAAGACCTCCTGAATTAGTGAGTATAAGTGGAGCTCAAGAAAACTAGAGCTCCTCTATGTCAATCTTGGTTTTATCAACACCACTGGGCACAGAGAACTGTCTTATAAAAAGTGTGAACGCAGAGTAGGGGAAGTCAGACGAATATGGCAAGAGAAAGATGAAGAGATTAGAAGAAGGGTAGGAAGGAGCACTGGGAAGAAATGGGATCAGATGTGGATGTCCCAAGATTACAGAGGGCTTTGTACATGTCAACAAGACCTTAAGTGTGATGCAGTAAGAAGGGAAAGTAATCCAATTAAAGAATTCACAGAGGTTATTTAATATACTCAGAGGTAGAAGAGAAGAAAATGCCTTAATAGTACCATTGTCTTTACAGTGATGTGAATACATCTCCGTGTGTCAGTTTTTAATCACCTTTTTCTGTCTCTTCCGCCCCTTCTTTTTTTGCAGCAATAGTGAAAAAAAAAGATTATATTATTCCTGTGATTGTTGTGCTCTCTTGTCTATCAGCAATGGCAGTGCCTGCACTTTCAATATTGGTTTACGTGTCAAGGAAAGCAAAGATAAATGGATCCTACAGCATTGTGAATGCACCAAAACCATGCGTTTAATCACATGATGAACTTGCATGAAATATTAGGTCATAGAATGAAGAAAGTGACTTTCTGTAACACTGTCATGTGAAAAACTTGAAAATGATCTGTACTGTGATAAGTACTACAGCCTTTACGTTCAAGGCAAAAATAAGACACTGCCTTAAAACAGGTGAATCACTTCCATCTTGAAGCATGTTCAACTAGAAGAGTTTTTGGAAGATCTAGGTTTGTAGATAGTATATCATTTGCTGTACATATGTATTATAAACAAATTCGAATATCCTATTACAGCTGTACATAGAAATGTGGGGATTTCTTGAGAGATAATACTTTTTGAACTGATTATACTTTCTTCCTTATTTAATAGTGAGCATTTTAAATATAATTTGTGAAAATAATATTTGTGAGTGGTGCTTTCCCGTCTGGGTCCTCCTCTTATTTATGGCAGCATATCTCCATTGGCTTCAACAAAACTGAGAAGAGACTTTTAGTTTTACATTTCTAATTCATTCTCACAAATTTAAAACTTTAACTTTTGTTTAATCAACATACCAAAGCTTCTCAAAAGCATGTAACATTTACATATTTTATTCAGTGAGTCTGTGTTTGGGCTTAAGGTAAAATCAAGTGTTGTAGCAATGGTATGGTATTTATTTAGGGTGTTGTCACTTTATAATAAATAGCCATGTTTCTATTGACTCCACTGTGAATGGAATCAGGTCCATTATTCAGAAATTAACTGTAAATAGATATGCTTTATAGACATTCACACTAAGATAAATCTACTTGGGTTATTGCTGTTAATCATAAATGGTAATAAGGTTCCAATATACATCTTCAACTATTATTGCATTGACACAGAATGTATTAGACTCTTCATAGGTATAATTCTTTAACATCTTTACGTTAAGTTTCTATTCTTGATACAGTATTTCTCTTCATATAAATATTTTATTCAGTTAAAATTCCCAGCTGATGCCAGTGCAATAGTAAAATGCAAAATGTATGTTTGTTCTATTCTCAAGTGTTAATTTTTATTTCTTTGAACAGCAAAATGGTCAAAACTCTGAAATTAAGTGGTGTATTGATATGCTGAAAGTATAATTGTTTTCTATCTGGTATGGAATGTGTGCTTTTCTATTTTGTGTATGGAATTTGTGGCAACAATGGAATTCTGGGCACAGATTGGCTGTATAAGGGAAAACAGACAGGACAGAGTTAATGTGCACATACCTATAGATGGCACCTTCTCTGTCCTCCCCCTCTCCCCAACGCTCCCCCCCCCCCCCAAAAAAAAGCAGCAGCAGCATTGGACCTAGTAAGTATTATGGGTTATTTATCACAAAGCAGTATATAGTTCCTGGGTACTAGACATTTCGGCAGGAGAATAAGTGAAGTGATCCCATCCTGTTAATCTATCGTAAAACACATCTAACGTGTTTCTTCTGCCAGTCCTGAAGAGAGAGAGATTTTTTCCCTAGTCTAGAAATCATGTGTTAAAGCAGGATTCAGGATCTGGAATGCAGATCCAGGGGAGTAAAAAGACTGCCCAGGTTATCTTCTTAGTAGTTTGGGCCTGTCTGGGCCTTTAAGAGTTTAATTTGCCCCCTAACACTTCACACCAGTTTTCTCCCTTCTACTCGGAAAGGGAGAATTTATACCGAAACCCCTGATTTACCTATCACATTGATGTTTATTATAATGAATTCCCCATCCTCCTTAGTAATGCTTTTTGGGGGAAAAAACAGAGTATTCCATAATTCAAAAGAATCTGCAAGAAACAAACTCATGTGTACACATTTCAGTATCAATGAGTTCACAAGTATGAAATACATTTAAAAGGCACAAGGTGATTTCAGACGCACAATGTGATTTCAAGCTCCTTGACCATTTGGAGCTTGGTGTACTCAGCCAGGGAGGACCTAAATCTTTGGGTACATGGGATTTCTACAAATGACTTCACAGAGCGTCGAAGGTTAAGCTATTGTGGCAGCATAAAATATTATGCTTATAACACAAGCATTCACTTTTGCAGGTGCAAAGGAGGTACTTAGCCACTTAGTCTAACTTCACTGTAGCTTGGAGCAAGGATCCTACTCCAAGTAGAGCATGAACTTGGCCAGCTTGGGTCTGGCCCACGAAAGCTCATCATCTAATAAACCATCTTGTTAGTCTTTAAAGTGCTACATTGTCCTGCATTTTGCTTCAGCTACCCCAGACTAACACAGCTACATTTCTATCACAATTCTAAAAATATGTGTAATTGTTGCTGCTTGATGGTAGCTTGGAGGCCCCAGTTCACTCAGCACCCTGGGTCTGTGCTCAGGTGGCCAGCCAGAGTTTCCTAGAGCTACAGCATCTACACAATTATGTTTGTTTAGCACATTAGCTCTAGCTCTGCCAGAAGCTGACTCCCAGCTGTGGTGAAGATTTACCTTTAAGTGCTAGCATTTGTGCCCTCAGTTCATTGTGAGCTCAAAAATGTGGGTATAACTTCTGTGATATTGATAGCAACAACAGCAGCATGCTGGGCAGGGGCACTAGCCTCCTATAACCATTTGAACTCCAGGGTGATGTGACCTGAAATGGATTTATTCATTGTGAGACAAACACAAGCCATATCTGAATGTAAATAACCACTTCTGAGAACACCACTAACTGCCAAATACAGTCGATCTAATCTGTGGTCCTGCATTGGAATAGTTAAAGTTGTATCAATGACTTGTTGAAAAAGAGAGAGAAACACATAAACCACAATGACCTAGCTACTGGATTTAACTGTGTTAAAGCAAAATATTGTGAATTCTCAGAGCCATGTTATCTTCATTTTAAGTGAGAGCCTAGGTCACTTGCAGAAATTATGCCCACAGTAAGATGAAGGAACTTTTATTCCCAATCCAGACATAAGGTTCGAGGCACCTGTAAAACCCAGTGTCTGTTAAATTCTTGTAGGCTGTGTCTAGACTGGCCAGTTTTTCTGGAAAATCAGCCACTTTTCCGGAAAAACTTGCCAGCTGTCTACACTGGCTGCTTGAATTTCTGCAAAAGCACTGACTTCCTACTATAAGAAATCAGTGCTTTTTGCGGAAATACTATGCTGCTCCCGTTCGGGCAAAAGTCCCTTTTGTGCAAAACTATTGCACAAAAGGGCCAGTGGAGACAGCTGAGATTTGTTTTCCGCAAAAAAGCCCTGATCGCGAAAATGGCGATCAGGGCTTTTTTGCGGAAAAGCACATCTAGATTGGCCACGGACACTTTTCCGCAAAAAGTGTTTTTGCGGAAAAGCATCCGTGCCAATCTAGATGCTCTGTTCTGAAAATGCTTTTAATGGAAAACTTTTCCGTAAAAAGCATTTGCGGAAAATCATGCCAGTCTAGACTTAGCCGTAGGGTATAAAGCGGTGCAACAGTTACATCCCTGACTCGTCCTCTATGCAATAAGGGGATCTTGTGATAAATGCACCAGAACAGGACTTGAACTCTGCCTTCAGTTCATAGTTCTACAATAGACTTCCAGTGTGACTCACTCTTCATCTGTAAAATGGAGCTATTTCAGTACCCAGAAGTGTTTGGTTCATTACTATGGGGAGTAGCCAGACACTTTGCTAACGGAAGCTGTGTGAGCCACACAGAGTCCTGCCAAACGGACCATAGAGCCTCTCAACAGAGGCTACTTCAGCCTACTAGAGGAAGCAGTCCTTCATATTCCACTGCACTTTGTTCTGTGTGTGTAGAGAACCTAACTTTTGCATTGCAGCAGGAACTATCTCTATCCTGCCGTTAACTTCTGCCATTAAGGGTATGTCTAGACTACATTGTTTTTTTGAAAAAACTGCCCGCTTTTTGAAAAAAACTTCTCCAGCATCCACACTGCAATCACATTCTTTCGAAATTAATTCAAAAGAAGGCAGGTTTTTTTTGACATTTCAAATTATGAGGAAGAACACCTTTTTAGAAAGAGCTCTTTTGAAAAAAGGCATGTGTGGACACAGAACAGGGACTTTTTTTAGAAAGAAGAGGCAGCTGAATAGCAACCAAGGCTTCCTTTAGAGAGAGTGTCCACGCAGTCTGAATGCTTTCTTTCAAAAAAGCAGATCAGTTTTGAGGTGTAGACGCTCTCTTTCGGAAAAAGCTTTTTTGAAACTGGGATCTGTGATGCATAGGGGTGCAGGTGCCAGTGTGCCTTGACCTCTGCCCACCCCACTCACACAGCAAAGCCATACTGGAACCAAAGACAGGG